AGAAAGCATCACAAGATGCTGTCAGCCTGTGAAAAGGGGCAAGCTCCCTGCCCCACAGTGCTGGGGGCATATTCATATGAGTGCTGCCTACAAGTGTTTGTGACAAAATGGTTCAGGGGGCATAGACACAGGGTCACCTCCCAGGCTGGGGGTGCAGTTTTCATCCCTGCAGTTAACTATACAAGTTGTTACCAAAGCAAATATCAAAGCCCTGAAATTTGCTAATTACAGATGGGGTCTTGGACTTGTGGGCCCAATTACCACTTGTTCCTCATTTTCTGTGTGTCCCCCGCCAACTGCACCCACAATTACCCACTTGTCTTTTAACTGCCCTGAGAGCTGGCTAACTCATCTCCAATTCACTCCCACTATCACCTCCAGATGGCCTTTGGTATCTTTTTGCTTTCCAGGTTCCCCCAACTCACCTATTGTCTCTCTTTGCATCACAGGGCAATGTCTGCTCTCCCATCATTGGGGCTCCAAGCAGATTTCCTGGTGTTGCTTCTTCCCAGCTTGGAGCCTATAAGGGAAGAAGTAGCTCCATTGGTCTGGCCATGTTGCCTAACTCCCCCCAAGGAAGCTTAGGGGGCTATGACCACAGCTGGCCTCTGCCCCCAGACAAAGAAGGAGTAAAGAAAATTACAGCTTCTCCAGAACTGGCAGACTGCCAGAGCTCCTGCCATCTTCTCCTCGGTGCCTTGCTAGCTCCCTACCACCGCCAGGCCAGGTCTGGGTCCAGGGAGACTCTGCCAGTCCTAAAGAGGGAGGTCCCAGTAGCTTCCAGCAGTAGCTGTCCAGGGAGACCAAGCTGGAGAAGGAGAAAAACCCCTCATGACCTCCTGCTTCATTAGGCAGGCTCCCTGGCAAAGAAAAAATTTCCTGCAAAGTTTTTGATGATTTACTTCTTTCGTGGTCCCTATCTTCTTTTGTGAAACAGACACCTTTGAAAAACTGATGAAAATTTTGGACCCTCTCCAGCAAGAAATGTTCATATTCATTTATCCATTTATTCAATCATTCAGTGTGAAATAATGGTGGTAAATATTCATGGAGCATTTATGTGCCAGGCACTATTGCAGGGATGAAGGAAACATCAGTGGACAAAAATTTTTTTTAATTCCTACTCTCATGGAGCTGACATTCTAGCAGGAAGAGATGGGTAATAATAAATACAATAAGTAAATACACAATTTGTTAGAAAATAAGTGCTATGGAAAAAGAAAAATTTGAGCAGCATAAGAGACAGATCGGTGGTGATTTTTTAATTTTTAAATAGGGTATGCCATCCTGTCCTCATTAAGAAGAGAAACATTAAAGAGTTTAAGAAAGAGGTTTCAACTTGTGTGTATCTAGAGAAAGAGCATATTGGCCAGAGGGAAGAGCCTGAGGGCAAGGGCCACGCTGGTCTGGGAGAAGTGAGAACAGTGTGGCTGGAGACAGCAAGAGGGAGGCGGTCTCAATGGGAGATGGGGTCAGAGGGGCAGGGGATGGGGAGGGGTCCATATCACACAGGACCTTATAGGCCTCAAGGACTTTGACTTTGATTCTGAGTTAAATCAGGAGCCATTAGTGGGGTTTGAGCAAAGGGGTAACATGATCTAAGACTAAATTGTAGGTAGCTGTCATAGGCAGCAAATGGTCCAAGTGTGAGATAATGGTGGCTTGGACCCATGGTAGAAGAGGAGACTGAAAGAAGGTTAAGTCAAGAGGATTTCCTGAGTAGCTGTGGTATATGCAAGAAAGATGTGCATATATATTTCACATACAATTCAGCAGTTTCCCAATCTCTTAAATCCTACCCATGGATGCAAGTAAAAGGCCCCTTATGAAATGACCTCAAGGAAGGAGTGGAAAGTGGTGACCCCAGTGGAGAGGGAGAACCTTAGCTGTATCTGAAAGTTTCATTTGTTTTTTAAAATATATAAGAAGATATTTAAGGCAAACATGGTAAAATATTAACATGTGGTAATTTGCAATGGTTGATACCCAGGTGTCTATTACAATATTTTCTGTATATTTAAAATAATTCGTAATTTTTAAAAGAGCTGCCCATCTCAGGGCTTTTCGAAGAGCCTCCCACTAGCTCTGCCCATGCCGCAAGGGAAATGAACACCATCAGTTCTGCCGATAATTCTGGCTGTGACATGTGCCTGGGTACACTTCCCTTCTCTAACCTACTTTCCTTCTCTTACAGCTCACATTCCAAAGCGAGGAAAGTCAATGACTAGCACAAAACCCCACCATGCTAAATAGAATCTAGAAAAGGAAGAGAGGAATGTTAACTGGGAAGACTGGAGAAGGCCTCCCAGCAGGACAGCCTTTCAGCAGCACCCAGGAGAGCCGGCAGCCTGGGACTTTCAGAGGAGGGAGTCTCCAGCATGAGGCTGCATCCTGAACCAAAGCACAGTGGGGGCAAACGCAGGGCCCAAGCACCTACTCTGCTGCGGTCCGCTTTAAGAAACACAGGCAGATTTCTTCCTCCCGATACCGAATTAGAGAAAAAGGCCAGATGGGATGTGATTTTGCAGTCCTGCAGTACCTCAGTGGGGCTAAGGGGAAAAATTTGGATCCAGGTCTGCAGCAAGCTGAAACCTGCAGATAAAGATGAGTTCAGGCCCCCAGGCAGTAAAGTTACTGAGGTGGGTGGAGTCTCCTTGCTGACCTGCAGGGAGACTTCCTCAGGAGCAAGAGACCAAGGAGACTCCCTGGCCAGCTCTGTGCTAGCCACCTCAGGCCTTGGCCCTCAGACAGCACATTCCTCACAGGTTGCAGCCCCATCCCAGGAGCCTGGGGAAAGGTCCCCTGCTGCCCACATTCTGCAGAAACTTGCCATGTCACAAGCTCTGATTAGGTGCCAAGAGAACAATTTCCCAGGCCACAGCTTTAACAAGACCATGCTTCCTAATTACTAGTTTTTTCCTAATTAAATAAAAAGGAGGGAGAGAAACCAATGATTACTCTACCATATAATACCACCTTCCATTTATGTGCGTCTTTCTTCAGAGGAACTCAAAGTGCTTTGTATATTATTGTATATTTTTCCCTCATAATATCCTTGAGATTCCTAGGGTGGTTATTATTATACCATTTTACAGCTGGGAAAGGGGATGTGGCTGAGGTTAAGCCAAGTGTCCAAGTGCCCTCCCTGGCTATGGTCAGTATTTTGGAGCTCTTACAAGAAGCCTCTTCATATTTGAAAATAAAGTCCCCTGGGAGGTAAACTAAGCTAAAGCAACACATAAAGAATAGTCATTTACTGCAAGCTTTACAATAGTAATTAACACTATTTAATTCTCACAACATCCTATAAAACACAATTACACTAATCTTATATATGAGGACAATAAGACTCAGAGAGGTAAAGTAAGCTGCCTAGAATTATATAATAATAATAGTTGTAGTAAAAGCAGAAGTTAATATTTATTAAACACTTAGCATGTGCCAGGTATGTTAGATTTATTGACAGATTTTAATTTTTGCAAAAACCTTCTGAACTGGTTATCAGTATTATCACTATTTTGCTGATAACAAAACTGAAGCACAGAAAAGTGACTTGCTCAAGGTCATGCAGCAAGTCAGTGGCAAAGCCATCTAGGAACCCACAAAGCTACACATGTCCCACCACACTAATTTAGCCATCTGAAGGAAGACCACTCTGTAGGTTGGCCTGGGAACACCCAGATACAGTACAGATGCCTCAGGTATAGCCCCAGGATTGCTCTGTACCCTTATCCCTGCCCTGAGAACAGTGGGGGTGTACGTTCTGTACACTGCTGTGTGCCAGCCCACTCACTGTGTGGGTAGGCGCCAGGAGAGGGGATTGCAGGGGAATGGCCTTCCTGCCCAACCGAATGCAAATGTGATGGATACTGTTGCTGGCAGAAATGGCACCATAGGGGCTATTAGCACAAAGGTAGAAATCCACAAGCATGAATTAGCCTAGAGAGATGGTTAGGCTAGCTGGAAATGAATTGGCTACAGTGTGGGGGAGGCATTGCATCTAGCTCTTCCACACTCCAGAGAAGTGAGTCTCCAAACCATCCTAAAACCTTGGCTTTTCTACTACCCTCTCCCCAAAAGCATCCTCTAATAACTCATTCCACTCCTCATAGCTACACACCAGGAAGGAGATGCCCAAATGGGGACCCCAATTCTGACTCCTTCTGTGGCAGTTGAGCCAAACTTGCCCACCAAGAAATTGGCCTGCCTGACTCAGGCTTCAGTAGGAGGCCTCCAAGGACCTGGCATACTTCCCGGTGCAGTGAAAGTGAGACCTGGTCCTTCCCCCGACTCTCAGGTAAGGCCCTGGCTGGGCTGACAGGTGGCATGTGGCTCCCAAACCTCTCCTCTTTTCAGACCAACACTTGGTAGCAGACTGACTACAATCTCCACCTCCTGTCACTGCCTTACCCTTTCCCTTTCCAATAGGTGAAATTGCCAGGCAATCCCACTGAGAATGACAAGATGAGCCTTAACAAACATGTCCAGTACAGACACACTTACACCGTTCCTGGTGAGAGCTGGATATGCCACCCCGATGGCTCCCAGCTCTTTCTGACCAAATCAGAACACGTGGGAAGGTCCTGACTTGCCATGACTGACTTATAAACTTTCCAGAGCTTGTTCCTCCACCTTTTTGAGGTCTGATGCACGAGCAGAGGAATTCTAGAAGACAGCCTCTTCTTTTACCTGGTGAGCACAGCAGTTACAGCACTAGCTCTAGAGCAAGGCTGTGGAAATTTAAACCCCAGCCCTCCCACTTACTAGCTGTGTGACCCTGAGCAAATTTCTGCACCTCTCTGTGGCTGTTTTGTTACCTGAAGAGTGGGGATAAAAATTTCTACTTCCTAGGATTCATAGAATTGTTGTTAAGAATTAAATGACTTATTGCATGAAAGTGCTTAGCACAGATTAAGGGCTGGCTGAATAAATGTTACTGCTATTATGTGGCCTTGAAACGTGTTCCCTGAAAGAATCCATTATTTTTTTGTCAACTTCACCTTTGCACTCCAGCACTGCAGGCAAGTAGAGGCAGCTCAGTATGGTGAGAACTTGTATTGGCTTGGACGAGGGAGAATGATAACAGAATGGATATTTCATCTGGAAAGGGTTTAAATATTCTCAGCCCTTGTTGAACACGTATCTGTGTAAAATGGGAAAAGAACAGAAAGAAAAATGAAAATTCAAGGCCCGGGACCCACCCCAGGGAGGAGAATGAGCCGCGTTCCTGCAGCCTCGCGCCAGCCCCCACCCGCTGCCATCAACTGGAGGTTGCACCGCAGATGTTCAGACCCTTCAGAAATATAAAACCAGGGAAAGGGAAGCTTGTGAGTTCCCAGGGCCTCTCAGGCACGCGGCATCTCTTCCCACCGGCAGCGCCTTAAATACCAGAGGACTTGCCAAAGACAGAGCTGTTTTGTCGGGAGCTCAGGTTTCTCCCGCCGCGAGGCTGAGCCGGTGGCGCAGCTGCTCAGAGGTCACGCCCGAGACACGTCCGCACAAGCCCGACGGGAGGGGTGGGAGGTTGCAAGGGCCGGCGGACGTGGGGGCGCATCACCCTCCCCGGGGACCTGCCGGGCCTTCGTTCCCAGCTTCATTTAACAATCATGCTTTCCCCTCCCAACAAAGATATTATTTTTGCAACACAAAAGGGATGCAAAGCAAAACAAAATAAAAAGATCCTAAGTGAAAAGAAATGCTTCTTTAAAAGTGCTTATTGTGAGCTTTTTCCCCCAGTTGTTTTGGAATTCCGTCTATATTGGATCTGGAGTTCTTTTTCAATAAATGGCCGAAAGAGAAAAACCTAAATTTGCCATAGGAAACCTGAAGCTGGTTAACCTTGAAAAATTAATCTTCATTTTCTATTACTTAAAATATTTGCACTTGTATGCTTAAAGCCCTCTACATATGGTAAAAATAGAGGGACTGAACAGTTTCACCACCTGTGTTTTCCTTGGATTGCGTATTTTCCACTGTAAACAAGAGAACACAGATTGGAAATCCATTCATTCCTTTCTAAAGAGTGCTTCAGGTGGGGTTTATTTATGTTTTCAATCACTGGCAACCAAAAACAACCTTTGCAAGATTAAGATATTTTCATGCGAAGAAACTCCAAAACATCTTTTAATCCCCTCTGCAGCTATTTCCTACATAAAGCCCCAAGTTTTGTAAAATTCAGTTAATAATTACAATCGCCACCTAAATTGCTGAGCAAATGCTATGGCACATACTACATGTTTGAATTGTCATCTCATTTTATGGTACTATTGGAAAGTAGTTATTCTTTTCATTCCTATTTTACAGACGAGAAGACAGACTCAGAGAGAACAAGCAGTAGCTAATAAATGAGCAGCCTTTATGTTGGTGACGCTCAGGTCTGAGAGCTGCAGAGCTGTGCTGCTTTTGCCACCGTGAACCACTTTCGTTGTTTCAGTATTTCTACATAAATGGATGGTTAGGAATATAGAGGCGTATCTGATCTTTTCTCTTACTTGTCAGTATAACTTCTAGTGGGAGAGGCATTGGTTTCTAGAGCTCGTGCTGCCTGTATTATCTTGCCATCCGACCTCAATGAGCCTTGAGCCTTGACATCCCCACAACATGAGACATTATCTCTAAAGTTCTACCAAGCGGACATCTGAAGATTTATCCTCAAAGCTCAGACTCTTCAGCTTGTTATCAGACATGGCATAATATTAATCACTACTTTCCTGATTCTCTAATCCCTTTGTCTAACTCTTGGTTCTCAACACTGGCTGCACATTACACGCTTCTGGCTGGGGGAGCTTTGGAAAATACAGATGCTCAGGCCACACCCCCAGAGATCCTGATTTAATTTAATTGGTCTGATGTGTGGCCCAGGCATCAGGATTTTTCAAAAGTTTCCCAGATGAATGTACCCAGGACTGAATATTGATCTAACCTAGTGAACTACTCCAATTTCATCTACCCTAGTTGTGCTTTTATAAATGTAGTTACTGTAACTGGAATTCCTTTTTTACAAAATCCAATAATACTAGCCCTACCAGAGCTGATCTCAAAACAGATGTGAGTTTTTACTTTATTTGGTTAATTTGCTTAAATAAGTTAAGTGTCTTGCCAAAGCTTCAAAATGCTATAAGACTATGTGCGTGTTGTTGTTGAGATAACAGATTTTTTTTTCTTCAGGGGTAGAGATAGAAGAGTGTCACCCTAACCAGTAGGTTCTAGGTCACTCTGACCCAGTAATTGATTGGCCAGGTGAAAGAAGTAACGCAAAATATTTATTTAACCCAAGGGTAATACCCATTCTTTGGAAACAGCCTATTTGAGACCTGGCCTAAAAGACTGGCCTGAACTGGAGGGGGTAGGCAAATGGAAGTCTGGATAAGAGGTCAGCCTGCAGCCATCTGAATCTTGAAAGTCCCTAGGCTGTTTTCTGTGCTATTTGTCTCTCAATTTGGTATCTATTAGAGGGAGTTGAACTTTCCAAAGGTTCCATCTAAATGTGACCCAGGGACAGTAAGTACCCAGAGAAAGTCCAAACATTCTTATGAGTTCAAAACAGATTTGCTTTTTTCTTTACGGAAGGATCTGCTGATTTCTTTCTAGAAGAAATCTAGAGTTTGTTTCATTTAAAAATGTCTGCTACAGTTCCTTTGTTAAACTTAAGCTTCTCTCTTGCTGTTTTGCAAGACTCCCTGCGCCACATCACACACACAAGCAGAAATGCTGTTTTCTCATTCAGCCTCTGGTGACAAGTTAAGGTAGGTGAAATACTAGCAGGTGGTACTAGTTGATACTGTGGTAGAGTTGTTTCTCCAAACATCTTTGGTGGGACTGACATTCAAATAGGAACATCAGGCAATTCTGTGGACCTTTGGCCTTTACCTGTTGCTTGTAAACAATCTCTACCATACCAAAAGACACAAGATTCTATTTAAATGTAAAATGTGTGAAATCACCTTACATGTTAAACTGCTGTTTCCCCTTGGCAATAGAAAGATTAGCTCTGTAAAGGGTATGGTTTTGATCTTTTGCCTTCCAGCTACAGTATTTACATTCCAGTAAAGTTCATCTGGATCAGTTAATAGTCACATGAATGAATATGAAGCCCAAGATCATGTTCTTAAATAAGGTTATCAGCCAAAGAATGGGGAGAGGGGCTTACCCTAATAATCTAAAGATGAAAATCCCAGAAAGACACAGAAATTTTCTCTAATGTGAATTTCCATGATAAACTCTGGGTTGGAAAAAAAAAAAGTCTTTTCAGGACAGGAACAAGGCAGGAATGAACTAAATCTTTAAATGAGAAAACCAGAAGTGGGGGGAAATCTTGTCACCCCAGATACATTGTCTTGCACAGATCAAAGAAGATCAGTCTGTGCTTTAAAAATTAAAAAGAAAAAAGCAGTCTAGGCAAGAGACATGGACTTTCAAAATAGGGAAGTATTCACTTCTTTTGTGAACTACAGGAATCAGATCAGAAATGCTTGCCTTGAGGAAAAAAAGCTAATATAGGACAGTTTCCAATGGAAGAAATGATTTTTTAAAATCTCTATTGCATGTAATGATATGTAGTTTGAGTTTGGGGACAGAAGTAGCCTAATGAAATAAATGTGTTTTATTTCTGTCTAATCCAGAAAACATTTTGCACTTACTATGTACCAAGCACTAGGCTGAGCATAATGATATCAAGCTAAGTAAGACTCAGACAGACCCCTTCTACGAGACACCCACCATTAGGTGACACTGCTTACTGTGAAAATTCACACAGGTATTAGCACAACCGTAGTTTCACGGCAGATGAGCCTAGTTGCTCAAGGCTCAGAGGTCAAGAGGGTCAGTAGTAATTTGAACATGTCACCAGCTTTGATCATCCGTTCAATCCAACAGAAGTCCCCTCAGAGCCAGCCCTAGACAGGAACTCAGGAGGTGCTATGGGGGGTGTAGGGATGAGTAAGACAAGTTCCAGCTTTCCAAAGGGCTCCCAACCACATTTCCAGATGAAATAGAAAACTAAATGAGTAATTTTGAGGATAATTCATTGTAAGGGCAAGTAAATAGTGTTTGCTAATTGGTTCTCCTCAAGAGAAACTAGATAGAGAAACTTTTGAAATGCTTTGTGAGAATGATGCTTTAAAAGCACAATAGGTTAAAACAGCAGAAGGACAAATCAGCTCTTCAGTCATTTAGTGACTGGCCTTGGACTGCTTAAGAAGTAGATATTAACCGGCAGGCTTCTCTGTCTCTCACAGATATTTAACCCATTGCAGAGGTTTTAGGAGCCACCAATTTGTAATTGAACGGGCTTTTCAGGGAAAACAAAGATGCTGTTAAAGCCTTACTAATGACTTCTAGACAAGAGTTGGGGCAAAAAGTATAACTGAAGGAAATGTTACCTCAATCCAACTGTCCATGTTGAGTCCCTCGGCTGTTCCCTCAAGTCTTCCCCAACCATTCCAGCCTGGATGGCTGTTACTGTTCCTAAATTCTCCCAGGCCCCTGGGCTGTATCCCTGGATGTCACGCCCCAGCCAGTGAAGTTTGGAGCTGTTCTCTGGCTGGGTCACGGGCCTCCTGATTGCTCTGTGGGACCGACACTAGAGATCACATCTTCTCTCCCCTCTGCTTCCCCCACTGCTTCTGGTGCAGGGCTCTTTGTATAAGATGACTTGAACACAGCCTGACAGGGGAAGCCTTGTACTTGGACAGGAAGATCTGGAGACCATGCCTAGTGACCAGCTACTGACCTTTGAAAACTAACTTTCTATCTGGACATAGTGTCCTCATCTACAAAGTGAAGAGTATGGGTTATATATTTCTTTGAGGCCTGTTCCTAATACTCTATGATTATGTTTTCTAGCAAATTTCAAATATTTCCTCTCTCTCTCTCTCTCCACACACACACACACACACACACACACACACACACACACACACACACACACACCATCTCCCACCTTATTTCTCCTTTTTTAAAAGGAGACAAACACACAACCTCAAATACTGTTGCTAGGCCTCTCCAAATGAATGTTCCTAAAACTGACATTTTATCCTAACAATATCAACATATTGAACCCAATCCCACTGAATACAAAACTGAACACAATATGTGTCCAATTCTTTACAGATTACAGTTTCACATACAATCCCAAATAGAGTGGTGTAATTCTACAGTAGCCTGTTACTGCTGGGCCCATTTTACAGAAGAAGTTTAATAGCCACAGAGCTAGCCAGCAAGTTGTCTCCACTCCACAGAAGCCAAATACCCTCTCCCTGGGGTGCCACAGGCAGAGCTACAGATCCTTCTTCTGCAGTGGGAGGTAGGAAGGAAATGGTTGAAGTTCAAAAAGAGAGAAGAGCAAAGGGAAGAGATGGGGAAAGAGAAAGGCAGAGAGGAGGGCAAGCTACATTCCTGACCCTGGTGTCAGGTCCTCCACTCCAATGGGCCCTCAGCTCACAGCGCCTCACACCTCTGGGACTTAGAACCTCTGGGTTATTCTTCTGACCCTCTGCCATCTCCCTGCCCTATCCTGCTCTCTCCCCTGCTTAGGCTGCCCTAAAAAGAATGCCCACTGCAATCTCTCTGCAGCTGTTTGATCTTTTTAAATGTCTCTCACTTGTCTGTGGCATATGCTCCAACCAAAAAATAGACCTTGGGCATTTAGGATGGGAAAGAGTATTAAATGGCAAAAGCCAGCCTCGTGCCAAGGGTGCGGGCAGCCCCTAGATATCTAGGATCACCAGATGTCCTGGATTTGCTGGGATGGTCCTAATTTAAAACATTCTAGCCTCTTGTGCCCATAAGTATCTTCACACTTGTCAGACCATGTATCCCTGTTTGGGGTTTGAAAAATATAGTTACTACATGGATACCCTATATCCAAGTGCCAAACAGACATAGTGTCAGAGTCATGGCGATGGAAAGAGGACAAATACAGGGGCCAGATGGATCCTGGGTCAGCCAGTCTGCCACCTACTATCTGTGTAGCTTTAGACAGCCTTTGTTCTTTCTGAGCCTCAGTTTCTTCATCTAGAAAATGGTTAGCTTCCCTTTAAGTTAGACCCATGGATTCTGATTTATCAGAAAAACCACTGCTCACAGACAATATCTTCAAGATGTTTCTGTCTTTCTGTCTGTACTATTGTATTGTTTGAATTTGGGTCAAATCTGGTGTGTTACTATTTAAAGCGTTAGCTTAAATGTATGGTTCAGAGTGCCATCTTAAACAATTACTATAACAGCAACCAAAATATCCCAACAGATATAAAATGTCCTGCTTTCTTCTTGCCCATCCAGTCCAAATCCTCCTCATTTCTCAAAACTCAGTTCAAATTCACTCTCCACTGCTCCCTAACAGTTTCATAGCCAGGTCAGGGGGTTCATCTAGACTGTTGCTGCTTTGGCCTCTCCTCTCTCCTCCCTCTGATCCACTTGTCACAAGCCCACCATGTGGACCTGCCTGTGACCTCTCTCCCGGCCTGGTACTCAGGGGCCAAGGCAGACAATGGAAGGGGGTTTGGCTGTGGAGCCAGCCAAGCACCATATCTGACCCTGGCACCCCACTAGTTGCTGCCGACCTGCGTCTGATCACTTGACCTTTCTCAGCCCTCATGTGAAAACTGGGATAAGATTTCCTACATGTTGTGCCCACAAGAAGCATTTTCAGAGCCTTCTAGTTGCCATGTATTTAACAAGCATTTACTCCTCCCCTCCCAAACCTTCTTCAGTTCCTATTCTAGGTATATAAGGCACAAGCTCAACACCCCAAACTATCCAGAATCTGGTCATACCTCAGGCATCTCAAACTTACTTCCCACCCATCACAGCTTTCGGTACCAGCTAGGCCGGGCTCCTGCCTGCTCACTCCCCTGCCCCTGCACTTCCACCCAAGATACTCCTTTCCCCAGGCAGGCCCTCCACCCAGCTATCCAAGGACATCTTTAGTCCGAGTCACACCATTACCAACTGCTCGGGGCTGAATTGTGTCTCCCCCAAAAATTCATGTGTTAACATCCTAACTTCCCTAATGTGAACTGTATTTGGAGATAGGGCCTTTAAGGAAGTAGTGACAGTTAGAAGAGTTTATGAATAAGGGCCTAAGCCAATAGTATGAGTGTCTTTATAAGTAGAGATACCTAAGAGCTTGCTAGCTTGCACTTTCCCTCTCTCTCTCTGCCACCTGAGGACACACCAAGAAGGTAGCCATCTGCAAGCCAGGAAGAGAGCTCTCAGCAAAAACCAAATAGGCCAGCCCCTTGTTCTTACCTTTCCAGCCTCCAGAACTGTGGGAGAATAAATTGCTGTTGTTGAAGCCAGCCAGTCTCTGATATTGTGTGATGGCAGCTTGAGCTAAGACACTCACCATCACTGCCCTCTCCTTTCTCAGAACCCTGTGTCACTCATCACCTGCCCCTCACATGATAGTCCTAAATGAATGACACTCTTATCTTGCCGACTCAGTAATTTTCCATGTGCCTGTCCATTTTGTTCCTCCATTAAGGAGAGCTCTCTGTAGGTAGAGGCATAAGAGTTTGCATTACCCACAGGCCCAGCACAAAGCATGGCACACAGCAGCTCAAGACATGTTTAGCTGGTTAAAAGTCATGTGCTGATGGAGGAGGACCAGTGGTCCTGAGAGCCCAGGAGTTTTCCAGTTGGCTGTGGGACATCTTCAAAGGCACACACTTACCTCACTGAGACACTTGCTTCTTGGTGTCCATTCTTGGCTCTGTCTCCACAGCCCCTGGCAGAACACTGGGAAAGGGCAAACACACAGATGACAATCCACACAGATGCGACAAGGAGTTTCTCTAGCCACTCAGCTAACAAAAAGGAGTACCATATTGAAATAGTATGTATGTATAATTGACTACCTGCTGCATGCCAGCCACTGCATAAATCAGACCCAATACCAAACGAATTTTTCTCCACTTTACAGGTAAGAAAACTGAGATATAAAGAGGTTAAGTAACTTGGCAAGGTCACAAACCTTATAAGTGAAATTGTGAGTCGTTGAGAAATTGAATTGAAAAGCTTTCATTTGCTAGTTTTTTCAGCCAACGAGCAGGGCAGATACCATAAGCAGAACCCCTAAATTATTGTTTGTGGGAGGATAGAGAAAGGAGACCAACATAGATTCTGTCCTTAAGAAATTGTGGAAAAGAGGACATGCATATGATGAGTTATAAGTGGTTACAAATGCCATAAGAAGAGACAGGGATCGAGTGTTTCAGGAGTTCGAGAGAGACCCCATTGCACCCTGACCTCGGCAGTGGACACTGAAGGACAAGCAGGAGCCCAGTGCAGAAATGGAAGGTGCTGGCAGAGCTTTCACTAACCAGGATGGAAGGTTTGTAAGGTGGTGCACCCCAGGAAGACAGGCCAAGATAAGAGGAGTATGACCTCTGGCAGCATGAAGCCACCTTTACACAAAGCTGCCAGAGCCCCATGATACTTGGTTTACCCTCATCCCCAAGTGTCCTATCCCCAACTTCTCTAGTTTAGGCAGTGAACTCAATTAGGGGCACTAAGCTGCTGAGAAGGAGCATTAGGCCTAGAAGGAGAGCATTGGTGTGTGGCACAGAAGGGGCACTGGACTTGGGATTCTAGCAGGGTGACCTTGGATAAGCCTCCAGCATAGCTATAGAAGGCCCTCATCTGCGGAATTTGAGCACCACGTGAGTCCCACTCACACCAGGTGCCAGGCTGGGCCACAGAGTGGAGGCCTGACTCTGCAGGATGGCACGGATCACCTGTGCAGCCTTCGAAGAAGCCGTTTCTGATTTGGGGGAAGTAGGAGCAGTAGGGCCTTCCACTCAGAGCTCTCAGTTGACTGAGCGTGACGTCGGGGTGCCTGGTGTGAGACCAGTTCGGTGCTCAGTGCAGAGGGCCTCCAGCCCTTCTCTGGGTGAGGTCCGACTTTTAAGACCACCCTATTAACAGCACTAACCTAATTAAACAGAAAGAGACTAGATCGTTCTGCCGGAATCTGAAGGGCAGGAGAGGCCCCATGGGCTGCCCCATTCCTCGCTGGTCCCAGGAGCAGACGGGGCGCCGGTGGGTGTGGGCCTCGCAGAGGCTCCAATGCCCCCGGGGCCTTGGCGGCAGGCGGCTCCCATTTCCCGGCTCAGCCCGGGCGGGCGCGGGGCAGCTGCTGGGAGGTGAGCAGAGCAGCGTTTTCCCACAGTCTGGGGCGGTGACACATGGCGCTAACACATTCCACAGCCGGGGGCCGCGCCAGGCCTGGCCCCGAGTCAAGGCAGCGCCGGAGCTGCCGACCAGCAGGTTCTGACTTTGGCACCCGCTGCAGCCTTCCCGCCTTCCCCACGCCGGGGTGGCCGGGGCGGGGACGCAGGGGCCCGCGCCGCCTGCTTAACCCTTGGACGTCTGGATACAGAGGCGCAGAGGGCTTTCTCAACTCCTTGGGGCTCACGAGGTGCTGAATAAGGTGGGATGAATAAATGAACGCGTGAACGAAGGCAGGCAAGAAGGCTGAAGGGAGTCCCTCCTGGCTTGCACCCGGTGCGCCTATACAGTTGTGAGCAGTTTCCACAGTACCGGGTGCTCACTCTATCCACACATTCTTGAGAAGACGCAGAGGAGTTAGGGGAGCGGGTATTGGTACTCCCAGCTTTTCACGCGGGAAACTGGACTCAGAAGAGGTTTGCTCAGGGCAACGCTACTCTTGCCTCTAGATTCAGACAGGAACTGCCAAAGGGATGTGGGGTCGGGGGGGCGCTCTCCATCACGTTGGTTCTCCACCTCTGAGTCTGTATGGGGGGGGACTGCCAATCTGTCCAGAACCCATTCCCTTAGTTGCCTATTTACGGATAGGCTATGGAAGACTTGATCACAGACCACTTTAGCAACCATTTGAGAGATGCAAAAGCAAACATTTAGAAAACTGCTCATTGATCAAAATTCAGATTCTGGGGGTAGCATCCACAATTTGAGCTCCCAAACGCTCTCCATCACGTTGGTTCTCCACCTCTGAGTCTGTATGGGGGGGACTGCCAATCTGTCCAGAACCCATTCCCTTAGTTGCCTATTTACGGATAGGCTATGGAAGACTTGATCACAGACCACTTTAGCAACCATTTGAGAGATGCAAAAGCAAACATTTAGAAAACTGCTCATTGATCAAAATTCAGATTCTGGGGGTAGCATCCACAATTTGAGCTCCCAATCACATTTGGGAAAGACCCATAAAGAGACAATTATATCATTGGGTGATCAGAGAGGTATGACCTAAGTGGAGGTATAGAGTTGAGAATGTTGCTGCTTGAAGCTTCAGAAAGAGCTGACCTTTATGTTAGGCCAAGAAGAATGGTAGGTCTCCAGACAGAGGCAACAGGGAAGGCCAGTCCAGGTAGAAGAAACACAACAGGATTACATAGGACACAGAAAATAGGAATCATAAATAAAACATGGACAAACTGTATGACATTGAAATTTCAGATGTGTGTTCACAAAATATTATGCCATCAAGAAAGAGGCAAACCACAGACTAGGAGAAAATGTTCACAGAAAAACATACCTGACAAAGGGCTTATATGCAGAATATATAAAGAACTCCTGCCACTCAATAATAAAAAGACAACCAACCCCATTTTTAAGAAATGGCCAAAGACTAAACACTTTATGAAAGATATGCAAATGACCACAATAAGCACATCTGAAAGCCCTCAAACAACATCAGTCACCAAAAAAACACAAATTAAAACTACCATGAAATACCACCCAATACTTACCAGAATGGCTATAATTAAAAACTGACAACGGCCAGGTATTGGAGAAGATGTAGAGCAATTGGAACTCTCATACAACACTGATGGAAATAATATATGTTACAGCCACATTGAAAAACTGATAGTTTCTTAAAAAGTTAAACATACATCGACCCAGTGATACACTGATAAATCCTTAACAACTGGCTCCCCAGAAGAAAAAAAGATATAAATACTTCCACCACAGCTGACTTCAAGCTGCCAACATGGTGTCACAGTTGGGAAGAGGTGAGCACAGTCACCTCTTGCTGGCTGGTACCAGTCCACTCCAGCACAGCAACGCATCTACCCCACGACATAGCAATTCTCCTCATACGTAATTACCTAAGAGAAATTAAAATATATATGTGTCTATGAAGAGTCTCATACAAGAATGTTTGTAGCAGTATTATTCATGATAGGCCATAACTGGAAACAACCCAGTTGCCCATCACAAGAGGATAAATAAGTGGCACTGTATTCATACAGTAGAATACTATATACCTTCACTGTAATTCATAAACTAGAATGGGTAAAAATAAATGATCTACTGAAACATGCAACACGAATGAATCTCAAAGAATCATTTTATGTGAAAAAAGACAAACACGAGCAGAACACCCTGTATGATTGCATTTATACGAAATTCTAGAATAAATCAAAATTAGCCAGTGTGATAGAAATGGGATCATGATTGCTGAGGGGGACAGAGATTGACTGGGAAGGATCCTGAGCAAAGTTCTGGGATGAGAGAAACGTTCCAGGCCTTGATATGCATTGATCAAAAAAACAGAACACTTAAGACCTAAGCATTTTGCTGGTTATTAATTATAAGATAAGAAAAGGGCACTGCAGAGAAAAAGCCTGGATATTCTTCACTAGAAAACACACACTAGCACAGGAGCAGAGGCCCGCAGCCCGGCACGGGGGCAGCAAAGCAGCTGGTTCAGCACATGGGCCTTGGGTAGTAAACTGTGTTTTCTCTTACTTTCTTTTAGCAAAACCAACAAGGCATTATTTGCTTTGCCGCCTACTGTGGTTACTAGGTCCCCCAGCCGCAGAGCGTAGTGCGGGCTGGGCAGCTGAAGGGCACTAAGGTCATGTGGCCAAGTCATCTCCACAGTTCCCCTCATCTTTCCCCACCTCTCTGCCCCCTCCCCCACTTTTGAGGAATCCATTTAAGGAACATGCAGAGTTACTTTTCCTCCCAGTTCTCCCCACTCCCTCAAATACATTCCCTTCCTCCAGTCCCAACCTTCTATCCCTCTTTTACTTAAATACAGAGATACGTGTTGACTATTTAATAGCCCAGGGCAGTCAGGAATCCTTGTCTCTAAGAGTTCTACCAATGGCTGCACAAAGATCATTAAGTAACTTCTCAAAGATCACCCAGGGTGTTGATTTTGAAACATTGTTCTGCCATCACTTAACTAGCTGTGTGATCATGGGAATGTTACTCTCACTCTCTGAGAGCCTCAACTTTCTCATTTGCAAAATAGGGGAAATAATTCCTACCTCAGTGGGTGGGCTATCCGGGATAAAATGAGATAACCTGTGAACGATCAACATATTTGTGGGACTTAAAGTTTGGGTTTGTTTTTTTTTTCATCTTCCATTGTAATTCATGCATATTATAAACATTTTAATGATATCATTTTAAGAGGTTGCACAACTCCCCCAAGTCACACACCTACAGAGGAGCAAAGACAGGATTCCAGCCAGATCTCTGCTTGTCTTCCTGTCCTCAGTCCATGCGGTGCTTCCAGGCTGGAAATCCATCTGGCTCAGGGCACTGAGTGGACTCCACCCACTCGGCTTTCCATTTCTGCAATTCCAGAAATATAGCATAAGAGAGCCAGGTGCAGGAAGGTGGAAAGGCTCTTGTCTCACACAAAAATGGTAAAATTCCTTTCCAACCCTCCTGCCTCCCACTCCTTAATGAGTCTCTTACAAACATAAAATCTCCTTGACTTTTCAAAATTTTATAAAGAGTTACTTGTAGAACTCTTGAAAACTGAATGTGAGGCACTTGAAAACTTCAATACACAGGATTTCCTTTTGCTTTTCCATACTTTCTTCACACACTCTTTCCCATAACAAAATTGTCTAGCCACTCCCCACCCCTCCCACCTCCTTAACCTCATTCTCATTGGCACTGTCTCTACTGTAAAGATGGCTGGTTCCAAGGTCCTCCAAAACACTGCTAGCTACTCCTTTTAATTGCCTTGATCCCCAAAGATGGTGTTTCTTCAGTCTTCTTTCTTATTGGACCTTCTTTCTCAACTACTCAAAGTGTCCCAGAGGAGCACAGGACTTTCCTATCTCTGTGCCTTTGCTCATGCTGTCTACCCTACTCTTCTCTTCTTCATATGGTACCCATCCTTCAAAACTCAGCTGAAATGCCAGCCCCTCCATTAGAGCATTCTCTAATGTCTCCATCTAGAAGGGATCTCTCCCTCCATTTTAGCCCCATAACACTTTTCTAAACCTTCTTGTTATGGAGTTCATCCCTGTCCCCTGTGTAGGGATGGATGATGAGACAGACAGCTATGAGACATACTCATATTAACATGATGCAGACACCCAGATATACTTACTTTTTCACTATTTATTTAACAACTTCTATGTCTTGTCTATCTATCCATAATCTATTTCTGATCTTGGGAATAGGAATTGGAAATATTTAATTCAGGCTGGATTCCAAGTCCTGTTGTAGTCAATATTATATTTGACAAAGGGCCAGATATATTTTAATTTGTCCCTCACCTGAAGCCTGATGAGTTTTACTAGCATTCAGAAGTAGACGTCAATACATTCTCATTCCTGCTCTTTGGGTCTTAACAGAAATCAGAGGTCAACCAATCCAACTGCTCATTTTTCAGATGAGGAAAGTAAGATCTAGAGAGGGGCAGTGGCTTGCACAAGATCAGATGTAGAGACTAAAGATCTACCATGAGTCCCTACTACCAACTCCTCACTCTGTCCTTTATACCTTAAAACTTAAAGTACTGGTTTATCCATTCTAGGTAGGTTTCAAACCTTGATGAAAAGTAGGTTTGGGAAGAAAATCCCAGACTTCTCTGAAGAGAGGTAAGATTTCTCTTCGTATAGGTTCTATTTTTAGCACCATTAGATTTGGGGCCTTAACTTTCCAAGGTGTCATTTGTACAATGAAGAGAAAAATGCTATATTCCTGACTTCTTCCTAAGAGCTCTGGAAGATTCCAGAGTTGTGTTTGCACAGTAAGCTCGTCTCTGGCATGGAAAATGAAAGACTGGAGACGTGCATGCTGTAGGCTCTGATTTTTCTTCTTAATAGAAATTCTAACATCCACAAGGACTTGGTTACATTTTGACAGCTACATTTTGAAGAGCTCCTCTATTATCAGACCAGGAATTAACCACTTCTCTGCTCTTGTAATGTAATCACTGTCCATAGTTTTTATTACAGAACAAAAAGCTCAGGTAAGCCTCTGTGCACTACCAGTTTCTCTGTCTTCTCGAGGGAAGGCTCTGGCTTCTCTATGCCAAAGTACAATTCAACAACACTACCCAGGTATTTCTAAAACTCTGATCCAAGGTTTCCAGAAACACCTTTGGTTCTGTTTCTGTATTGTAATAGAATTTCTTGGTGACCATGATTCAAAGCCTCAGTTCCCCTCCTTTGCAAAAATACTCTATGTGAAGGAAAAGGGCACAACTTATCTATGTGTCATGAATACAGCCAGTGTCTATTCATGGGCATTAAAATAGTTGTCATTTTCTCCTGGAAAATCCAAAGATAATAGGAAGAAATTGGGAGAGAGTG